TTACTGTAATCCTGCACACTACAGTAGATAAGCACTTATCCTGTTATCCTGCACTGTGTTTTGGTTCCTTTTTTAGCTCTCATCAGCACAAATGTGGGAAAGAATTTTTCACATAGGAGACACCAGCATCTAACAAAGGCAACAACAGCCTTCCTTGTGCCATCACAATTTTGTGGTTAGGCTTTGAACAGGTTCTTTGTTCTGTCTTTTCCACTAGGCTGAAAGTTTTCTGACATGCATTTGGCCAATGAAAACACATCATGTCTCTTTTTCACCATAGGCATGTTTAGTTTGCATTTAGAGATACTTCAAGGCACTTCCCTGCCTTAATGTGAAGGAACAGGAATAGGAATTGTTGAGGCTAATTAGGGCTGACAGAACCCACAACTTAAAGAAACAACTGCATTTGGCATTATTTAGAATGATAGAATGGTATGAGTTGAAAGGGACCACAAAGATCATTTAGTTCCAACCCCCCTGCCATGGGCAGGGACACCTTCCACTTGTCTAGGTTTCTCAAAGCCCCATCTGACCAGGCCCTGAACACTTTCAGGGACGGCACACCCACAGCTTCCCTGGGCAACCTGTTTCAGTGCCTCTCCACCCTCACAGTAAAGCACTCCTTCCAAGTATCTAAATTGCCCAGAGTATTGCCTAGAGGTTAGAACTCTGAAGTATTCCAGATGTGGATGAAAGCTGAATGCTTTCTGCTAGGGGTCTTCTTGCTGTTGACTTGCTGGTCATCAAAGACTTTAGGTCTCTTGGGATGGTAAAACACAGAAGAAGTCTGCTTTGGATGGCTTTGAGGCTGGCTGATATTTTGGCCTTTAAACTTTGTTCGAATAGCTGCTGCATTCCTGACCATACTAAATTAAACACATTATTTAGATAGGCAATGCAGTGTGCAGGCAAGGATGATGTGCAAGAGTACCTGGAGGTTGCTCCTCTTCTTTGGAAGTAAAATGCGAAGACAAATCCTTCATGGCTGTTCAGGGTGAGGTCCTAAAGCTTAACTTCAGTCGCTTCCAGTCATAACTATCTATGTGGGTTTGGGGCAGAGGAATTATAACCAGGCTAATACCTGTCTTGTCTGATCAAATTTTTTCTTCAAAAATTTTTACATATGGTCTCTTACGCATCTACAGTTAGTCAAGGGCAACTGTCTTTCATCTGAAAATCTTCTGTCTAATCCGAGTATAATTTGAGCAAAGTGAAATACCTTTCTGAGAAAACCCAATAGCAATGTGCATTCCCCTTCATATCTGCCCAGACATCATTGTTTTTATGGAAACTTTCAGTAATCCAACCCCAAAATTTATAACCATTCATCTACAAAACTCTTCTTATCTAATTATTATGAGAATATACACAGAGATTCATTAAAAATATACAAAAGAGCAAGCAAGGAAGATACTAAGTGATCTTGATATGGAAAGAAAGATGTAAACTAATACAAGACAGAAATACCAAGGCTCTGTTCCAATAAAATCACTTCTTCGATGCTGAAAGAAACTGTCCTTTCCACTGAGCTTTCACATCAGTATAAAAACTTTTAGAAGATGCATGGAAAGAGGTGGCCATAATGTAGAAGAAAGAGGTTTATGAATGAGCAGAAGAGAACACAGGCAGCTCACAGAAGCCATGCAGCAACAGGTTGGAAGCTGGAGGCTCAAATGGTTAGAGAGAAGATGTAGGAGTAATAACAGCAGCAGATGGAAAATGTCAGCAGTTCGCAAACATGCTGGGGTGGGGCTGAACTATCCTTGATTCTGCTTTGTATTCCCCAAACAAACCAAATCACAGAAGCCCTTCCAGCTGGTGAAGAATTTATATAAACTTCAGTGTCATAAATCACAGAAGACTTATGGATATGTAACACACACCTGGAAATTGAAGGTATTTTCTTGGGAATGGATGGGTTGGAATATCTGGGTTGGAAGGTATCTACAATGACCATCTATTCCAACTGTCTGACCATTTCAGGGCTGACCAAAAGTTAGATCAGGTTGTTAAGTGCATTATCCAAAAGCCTCCAGCAATCACCCATTGCTGGAGGAGAAGAGACAGAAAGCAGCATCTGGGATTTGGATTGGTGTACTACAGGTCTACCTTTGTTGCAAAGTTTTCTCTTCTGCCCTCATAACTCCTGATGGTTCAAGAAAAGGCAATGAATTAGGTTCTCTCACTGGAGGCTATTTCAAATTTCTTTCCTCACTCGGAGTTGTCAAAAAGAACTGTGCCTCTCAGCTTCCCAACAGGCTCCTTTTTGCATTGTTTTCCCAGCTGCTCCCATTCCCTGGCATTTAGTGTCAGCTGGGGATGCTGCAGAGCAGTTGTGAAGAAAAACAGAACTGAAAGACTACAGTGGTCATTAAGAAAAATAACAGCTTAGAGAGTGCAGGCTGAAAAAATATAATTATGAAGCCACTTGCTATTCAAGCAGAGACAACTTCCAGTGCTGATAACATTATTTATCACTTGTGTGGCACTTTAGACACAGTCACTAATTAATCCTTGTGACACATCTGTAAGTTATGTCAGCGTATTGCTGTCTCCCCCTTTTACTGTGCAAGGAAACAGAGGCATTTAAAGCCCAGATGAGTAAAGGTCAAAACAAACACTACAGCAGAGAGATGCTCAGTCCCAGCTCACTGCTTCTATCACAAAGGACACTTTCTTTCTGTAGGGTGGCAAAAACAGTGCAGAGGGGACCCTTTACTCCTGCTGCTATAACCACAAGCCTGTACAACATAAATCACATGAACAAGACAAAAAATGCCTCAGTGTTGTTAGACAAACTCATTGTACAAAGGTAGTAGAGACCTTTGTTTAATCTGGTGCAACAGGTGATCCTCATACCAAGGGGAGAGGGCAGAGGACTGTTCTCAGCCTCCCAGAACGAAGCTCCCCTTAGGTTTTCTGCCACCAAGGCAGGCTGCACTGGCAACTGCCTGCTGGGTAGTTTTGTCCCTAATACTACCAGAGTAGAAATGTTGCCAAAAATAAGCAGGAAAACTAGGGAAGAAAACCAAAAGCACTTGAGAGCCTGTTTGAGCACCCTGAAAGTTAGTGAGCACCATCTTCTAGAATTAGCCTGTTTCTTCTGTTTAATAGGAGGAGAGGGAGTTGGTGCTTTCTCCATTCAATTTGTGTTAAGCTATTTCTTTTAATGGCAAAACTTAGCAGAAACAAAGGAGATGTAAGCTGGATGAGGATGGTGAGTTAGGCTGGAGTCATCTGAGCAGGGACTTTTAACAACGAATAAAACTATTATTGATTTCTTGAAGCAGAAAGTTCATGTCTAGAACACCCTCATTTTGCAAGTTCTGTGTGCAACCTAACACAATGTGATAGAGTTCACACTGATATCAGCAAGCCCACAAAAACTGTTGTAATACACCAGGTTTGCAACCCAGCTGGTGTTGTGCGACGCTGTCCCAAAATCTCATGTAAGGGATGCGCAAGGGATGCTATGGGCTAGAGTGGGGCTTGGAGTTTCTTCTTGACCTCTCATCATTAGGAAGCTGCCTGCAGCATGAGATTCCCAGCTAAACCTCAGTTTTATCACCATCTACAGATCACTCCAGAGAGCCCCACTTGGAGGTCCCTTGCTTCAGCAACACACTCCAGCATTGAGCTCTGCAGCCTCATTTTAAGCCTCTCCTTCAACATCTCACGTTTGCTGTCACTGGGTTTTGTTTGAGAATGCTTTGCGTTGGTGTTTCAATGCCACGAGACTAGCAGCTCCCAATTTCTTCTTTTGTTCCTGGGTAAACAATCATGAGCTTTTCAATTTCTCTTCAATCAGTTTTTCTGTGTCCCTAATGTTTCTTTGCGCTTAATGTTGAAGCTTTTTTGATTTGCTTTGAAGTCTTTTTAGGTGCCTATCTATTCATCTAACCATCCACTCTCTGAAAGACGTTTCTGCAGAAACTGCCAATATTTCAATTCAAATTTACTTGCAAATTAAACAAAACCATGCTTGAAAAAATTATTCACAACTTCTGTTTTTTTACTGTAGCCCTAAAGATCCAAGAGTACTAATTGGCTTGTAAGTGCAATTCTGATTTTACACTTGATATTCATGAATTTATGCCTTTTATCAGCTACCTTTTCCCTTTTGTTAATTACTTTTTGCTTAAAGGAATTGTTTAATCTCTGTTTCATCTCATTTTTGGCACGTCCTCTCCTTCCATTTGGAAGATGTTTCCTCCTTTTCTCTTCCTATCTGGGCACATGTTGTGTAGCAAAAATATGTATATATTCTTCACATGCTTCTGAGTGCTGGCCTGAGTGGAAGGATTTCTCCTTCACTGATGGTGACACTCATAGGCAATGTATGACCTGGAGCTAAGGAAACCAGCCCCTCTAAATTGTCATGCAACTTCTGTTAGTACTGAGGTGCAGAGAGTGAGAGAGGGGAAATGCTGTCAAAAATAGGAAAGGAAACCAGGGCAGAAACTCAGAAACACTTGAGAGCCAAGTCTGGATCTTCAGAGCAACTGAATTGACTCTTGTTTGGCTTCTAGCCATTTGTAGCAATACAGCCTTGTTCCTAAACACTATTTAAAATTAATGACAGTATATTTGTTAAAAATTGACCTGGGAAAGAAACATTAACAAAACTAATCAGCACAGGCTTGAATAAATAAATCATCACCATTGCCCTCCCACTCACCCTTCCAGACTGTGTGCTGGTACTTTTTTGTTTGTTTCTATTCAGAAGCAGTAAATGACTTTCTCTCCAACCAGCACCTTCAGCTGGTGCCAGCTGCGATCTCACCCTGACAGCAGCTGATGGGCTGAAAACAACGGATCAAACTTCTCAGGTGACTGCACTTATTGTACCTGCTTAAATGCCACCTTGTTGCCAAGAGAAAAGCTCTTTACCTTTGGATTGCTAAGGAAGTTAGCTATCAGGGAACAACAAACACAAACCATCTCTCAGCACAACCTTTTCGCTTGGACTTGATGCACAACTAACACAGCACGGTACTTACTTCTGGTCCCAGTTTCTCCAGGAGGTGATGAAAAAAACTGTCAAGTTCCTTCCCTTCTATGTAACCATTGTCTAAATAAAAGTAAAATATATTAATGGTCAGGCGGTACTGCCCATGACACGTTCCAGGAACTGTGTCATGCGCTGCATGCGGGGAGCTCCAGGCTGCACGGTCAGGATCTCAGCTGGGGGCCCTGCCTGCCCACTCAGGAGGGTCCTATTCGATTTGATCTGGTCACATCTATGTGGGGACTGGGCACAGTACTGCTGGGCACCCCAGGAGTTTTCCTCACAGAAAACATTCTGGAAAAAAAAATTCCACAAACTGGCCCCAGAACAGGGAACAGCAGATGGAATGGGAAGGTGATGAAAAGGCAAAAACTTTGGGGTGAAAAGGCTGGTTTTATATATTATATATATTTATATTATATATACAGATGTGATATTTGGCCACGGTAAGGAGGAACAGGTGGGCTCAGAAACACCCGCGGGACCTCGTGGGGGTGAGGCTTGGGCACGCTGTCAGAAAGCCACTGGTGCAGGCTCCCAGTCACGCGTGCAACAGCCCGGGCACCCCACACTGCACCCACACGCACCCGGACGGGCACCCACCCACGCGGCCCCCGCTCCCACCCGCACGGGCACCCACCCGGACAGGCACCCGCCCGCCCACCAGACACCCCGTCTGGGGCTCCAGCCACGCGTGTCCCGCTCCCCGCCGTCCCCACTTGCCGTCGGCGTCGAAGCGCCGCCAGGCCCCGAGGAAGGCGGCGGCGTCCAGGCGCCCCTCGGCGCCGCTCTCCATGGTGCTGCCCGCCCCGCGCACCCTCCGCGCCCCGCACCGCCGGCTCTGCCCGCTCCCCGCCGGCCGCCCCGGCTTTGAGGGCGGCGGCCCCGCCCCGGAGGCGGCCCCGCGGGCGGGGGTCGCGGGGGGAAAGTCTCCCCTCCCCACGCGTCCGGCACGGCCCCGCGGGGCTCGTCACACCGACCCCGCTGCCCGGATCCCGCCGGCACGCCCAGGGTGTGGTCGGGCACAGGTGCTGACAGGACGGACCTCAAGCCTTCCAGGTGGGCTGGAGACACCCGACCCCGCAGGGGTGTGCCGCTCGCAGACGACCTTTAAAATTTCAAGCCTCCCCGAAGGAAGTCAGAAGTGCTTGAGGGAAGAGTGCGACTTCGGAGAAGAAGTGGAGTTTAGAGGGGGAAAAAGGAAGTTTTCTAAAACGGAAACTCTCCTCCTCTGCTTATGAAAGCAGAGCAGCAGCGGGCAGAGATCTCTTGCCTTCTCATCCCTCCCAGCCATCAGAAGGGTTTCTCTCGGAGGACTGGGGAGCCACAGAGTGAAGATGGACAGAAATCTACGCTCTCTTCCTCCTATAATACTAATCAAAAGAAGAAACTGTGGGGTTCAAGGTGTCAGTGATGATAGAGCATCATATTTATGATGGCCCTGCTTGGAGTTAGATGTGATTTGAATGTCACCTGTGTAGTCACCTGCGTAGTCACCTGCATTGATTTCAGGTACCTGGGGTTGGACTGTGTGTCTTTGTGTGTGCTCCTAGTACCATTATTATTTTTTGAGAGCCCTTACAGTTTTTCCAGGTTGCTCTTGATTCAATATATACATATTTCAACTTCATGCACATGCTGATTGCTTTAGAGAGGCTCTCAGTAGTAGAGCAGAAAAGGCTTTTAAAACATATTTAATGTTTGCCCTGAGCAGGCTCCTATTTGTTCTGAGGGAATAAAAAACCCCTCCTGAAGAACTAAAAGTTGTGTTGTACTCAGGAAATATCAGGTCTGCAAATCACATTCTTTCTGAGAGATCACAACAGAGGTCACATAGCCATGTCCAGCTTTTTCAGTGTATGAAGGAAAAGGAGACAGTGTGAAGCTGATGTGTTTAAACAGCAGCATAGGAGCAGCTCAGTAGGGGGATTCCCTGAACAGCAACCTGGCATCACCTTTGGACCTCAGAAAAACTATCGTCAGGATAGTTAATACAACGGCAAGGCCAAAAGCATTCCCTGAGCGTGGTCAAACAGGGGACCCTGACACAGAAGAGAAACAAGTGCTTGTTAGGTATGGACACACAGGGAAGCCTAAGTTTAGGGGACACCTGCTCAGGTCCCTTGCTGGCATGACCAGAGACACTCCACATTTCTCTGAGACATATCCTTGCCTCAATGTCAAAAGGCATTCCTGGCCCCAGCATTAGGGCTCACCCATGGAACCTCTCCTGCAGCCTCTTCTCCCCAGTGCTTCCCACCATGGCTTCCTCACGTGCCCCATGGGAGCTGCCTGAGCTCCTATGTGAGAGGAGTGTACGTGGTACTGTTCCATGACATGAAGGTCATGTTTTGGTCCTGTTTCTCTTCCCAGGACCCAGAACTCATCTGCCCCAGACAGGGAGCATCCTGATCCAGGTTTTAAGGAAAGGACTGTGCATCAGTTTCTAGGAAGATTTGTAACCTGGTTTTGGAAAGCATTGCCATGGCTGGTACCAGGAAGGGTCCTCAGTAGTATGATCACAACTACTAGTTTCTTATTAAAAAAAAAAATATTTTTAACAAAACTAAAGAGGAAATATTAAGCATGTTTTGAAATATTTTGCAAGGGAAAGCAGCCACTTGACAGGGATGGAGACAGTGAGGTTTTATGGGAACAGATGCAAACTCAGGGCATAGAGAAGCACTTGTGTGAGCTGGTTCTCCCCTATGCCCTCACAGGAGGAAGAGCAGGGAAGAAGTGACACCTTATTTAAACTGCTAGTGTTTATTCAACATCTCACACAACTTCAGTGAAAGCAGGTCCAAGTTGGAGATAAAAAAGAACCTTAAAGCTTAATGGGATCTCACAAGAACTGATTGTTACCTGTGCATGAGGATGTGGATGATACGTATCCATCCATCTGAACATCCTTGTTCTCCTCTGCACACTCAGTGCTGGCAGAGAGTGGTTTTGATTTCACACTGCAACAGAACACGCCTGCAAAGAGGGAAAAATTATCAGAGATGATGGCCTCCTCTTCTGTTTGCACCAGCTATGCGTTTGCTCCCCCCATAAAACCCTCTACTGAAATACCCTATAAATATAGGGGCCACCCGACAGACACACAGCTTAGCTGCTCTGCCCTGCAAGATGGATTTAAGGTTCTTAGGGGTGGAATTGCAGAAATTTAGCTCAAAGTAACTGGAACCAGGGGAGCTGAGAGAAATTCCAGCCTGCAGTGAGGATGTGGCCATCTTGATTCATGGCTAAAATGGGGTTCAGCTTCTCCAATTGCTTTAGGTGACTCAGTAAGGTATGAATGAAAAAAAACCACCAAAGTAAACAAAAAACAGCTCAGAGTAACTCTTACTTGTCCAGCAGGACTTTCTGCGGACAAATTGCAAATTTGAGGAGCATGTTGAACTGTGGCTTCATTGGCATTAGCACTAAAGCAACAAACTGAAGGCAGCTGCTGTGTGTGCAGCTCATATACCAAACTCAGCAACCACTCTGCCTTGGCTTGTTTCCTTAAAGGAATAAATAAGAATTAAAAGTAGGCAGCATTTTTAAAAAGTAACAAACACTTTTGATTAAGGACTTTGTCTTCAGCTTTGCGCTGTGCAGTAACACTCAAGGTCGAAGACCTCAAATCCATGTTTTAAAAAGCTGAAGATGAAAAAAAAAAAGGCAAGTGGAAAATACTCTCAGGCACATGGTGGGACTCTTGGGGAAGGTCCTGTGGAGGACTTGTTGATCCCCGTGGGTCCCTTCCAACTCAGCAGATTCTGTGATTTCACCCTTACTGCAGATGCATTTGGCTCTTAAATGAATGTGCTTCAGTAGGTGCCTTGAGGCTGGAAGCACTTCCTGGCCCTGCGGTGGGTCGGGGAGCAGTCCAGTTGAAGGACACCAGCAATGATGTATTATTTAGTTGATACTGATAATAAATTAACAAATAGCAATTTTTCCCAAAGTAAAGAGCAAAATAAGGAGCATGTGGCCAAACCCCAGGCTGGGCTAGCTTTGTAGAAAGGTTTAATTAAGCAACTGTAAATGGGAAGACATTGATAAAAGTGCAGATCGCTGATTTGGAAACAGAAAAAAGGGCAGCTGACAAATGCCTTGTTCTTTGGGCCAGACTCAAAGCATTGATGTGAAATGAAACATTTGGGTTTCCATGAACAGAATAGGAACAAAAAAACCAAATCCAGTATCTGGATTTGTGGCACAACTTTGTTTCTCCCCTTTTCAGAAGAAAATTCCAAATACATAGAGATATGGATTTTATAAATGGAAATAATTTTCCTCAGCAAATGGCTTCCACTTCCCTCAGCTTTGCACTGACCAGAGACACTGAGGAAGCCACCGCTGGCACCACCAGCATTTTGTCCCGCATTGAGAAAGTGTTTCACAGGTAGTTTGGGTCCTGCATAGATTCTGCAGAAAACTCCAGACTGGATCCTCAGTGTGTCCCGTTTTACCCAGAGCCTGCTTTGCATCAGGGCAACTGGGAGGCGAGTGTGCCAGCTTAGCAGCTGTGTGCAGCTGGGGCTGCCGAAGGTGCGGATGATGGGCTGCTGCCTGGCAAGGGGTCTGTGAGCATCCCAGCAAAGAAAAATGCTGGAGAAGCAGAGGAAAGGCAAACTGAAAGGGAATCAAAGCGGAGATAATAGTCAGTGAAGCTCCCTACTACTGCTTGGAAACCAAGTCAGAGACAAAGCTGTCTGCTGCAGAAAAGAAACAGACTCATCTCTCCAAACCCCCCTCACATGGGTACAAGCTGCTTATTAGCAGCAGATTTCAACTCCTACCTTCCAACATGGATGCCCCATCTTGCCCCATCCTTCCCTCCACTCCCTTCTTCTGCCCAGCAAATCCAGCATGCCTGTGCTGGGTTAGATGCTGGCTCCATTATTTCTGGCTTAGCTGGTGCAGAGTGTGTGGGTGCAGGGTGCAAAGAGGTGCAACAACAGTTTGTGTCAGGTACTGATGGATGTGGTGTGACACAGACTACCATCCCAGAGATGTTCCCATTCACAGATTCCTACCAAGGCCAGGTTTTTCCAGCCTTCCCATATGCAGCCCCCCAAACTGTGCGGCTTCAGTTCTCTGTTCTCTTCTCCATTTTGGACCAGCAATGGGATTCCTTGAGTGCTACAGGGGAGCAGCCAACTCCTTCCCACCAAGGTGCTGCTGAAAAGGAGGAGTCAGGACTCAGGCCATCAGAAGGGATGTAAGAAGAGATTTCCCAAAGGAAAGCTGACATTTCCACCAGCCACATGCTGCTCTTTGCTATCCAGACAGGGACTGCAGTCTCAGTTACAGTAAATGACTTCCATTATTCCAGTCTTCAGCTAGAATTTAATGTTGTCCGAACAAACAACCTCCACAGCACTCTCCTCTAACCCTCTGCTGGGTCTTACCCACCTAAGCAAATGGGAAGGGAAGGAGGCATTCCTGGAATGATGCTAAATAGAGATTACAGAGTTAACTTTACTCCTCCATTCAGTGAAACCAAATTGGATTTCCCAAGCTAGCAGCCCCTCTTCTGCCTACCCTTGTCTGGTATCAATCTAATTAAATACTCCTTCTCCCACGCAGCTTTTTTTCCTCCTCAATTCAGCTTACTGGAAAAGCAGATAAAACAGGCTCTGAAAGACTTGGGCTGGGGTCAGCTGGCAGAACTTATCACGAATTGCCGAAGCAGCATCAGCACAGTGGCATAGGAGCAAGGACCTCAACACAGAGCTGGGAGGGACCATGGCAGCATATCTGCTTTTCCGTGCAAGCTTTCCAAATACTTGGAACCTACATCTAATAAATC